GCTGACAGCAGCCGGCACGCACATTTTCAGCACCCCTGTTTCGGGTACCAAAACAGGGGGCACAACTACAGAAGGTAAAGTCCATCGATTTCTGCTGAAACAAAAAGTAGACAAATCTCTCCGCCTCCTCCAGCTGAATCACCGGGGCTGCAGCAAAGAACCAACACGCTTGTCTTCCGGCAGGGTTGGGGGCGAGCTGCGGGCTGCAGCAAAGCCCCCTCGGCCCTGCAATCACGTCCATCTACTCGCGATCTGATCCCCCCTATCTGATTGTATCTGTCTCCCCTCTTTCTGGACGGGGCTAGCTGCAAGGGCCCCACAGTCAGGCGCGTCCATAGCATTGCAATGATGTTCAGAGGACACTACATCACAGCCCCCCACCCCGGACCCCAACTTTAGCATATCACCCAGCACAATGAGAAGGCCTAGCTGGGTCCCCTAATGGAACCTAGATTGATGCTGCTGGTAAACCCGCGCAGTTATTCCAGGCTACTGAGCTCCGATGTGCACATTTCAAATGCAAGGAGGAAGTGTAACTTGAAAATGTGATTATTTATGCTCCTCAGTGTCCAGCCTCCAGGGCCTCACAGAGATATTAGCTCCGCGAAGACCCGGCCAGCAGCACCTGCGCTGTGTTAAGGACGCCCGGGGCGGGGCGGCGTGCAGCCCAGCCCTGCAGAAGCCCTGCAGACATTCGCTCTGAGAATTAACCACACGGGACAGTTAGAAACCAAGTCCAATTACATGCGTCCTTCCTGCGGCGCCCGGACTCCGAGGACCGGGGGTTTTCTTCCGCAGCAGGTTGCGGGTCTGTGGGAGAAGAAGCATCCAGTTACGGGCCACGAGGTCGGTGGAGACAGCCGCTGACCTGGCCCCTGGGCAGCTCTGGCTTTGCAGATGGCCTCGGGGTGCCTGATCCCCACCCAGGACTAGGTGCTGGCTGTGTTTGGGAGACAATTCTATCTTTCATTAAATTCACCCCAAGTGGTCCCCTTGGGGACTTCCCCTAGGAGCAGGCCACTGAAGTGTTGGGGAGCAATGCAGGGGAAGACGAGGCGGAGGAGAGGTGAGTTCTCACTCCCTGACTTCCCTCGCTGGGAAGAGTCCATGCAAGGCGGGAGCACCTCACTGCACGCGCGCTTCCGCTCCCCAGCATCCTCCCTCTTGTCCCCTCCCCTCCTCTCCTGCTCGCCCACCTCCTGCTGCAGACAGGCCTGTGTGAGGGGAGAGTCCACTCCCCCCCCCCGTACCTCCTAGGGACTATAAGCCAGGTGAGCTGTGCACCATGTCCGAGTGGAGGAGGGCTGGGGAGGACCCCTCCCTTTACGGCCTCACTTCTGGAAATGACTGCCTGGGCCTCCTCCTGGGGGTGCCCGCCCCACCCCAAGACCCCTGGGCCCTCTTCCCGCTCTCGCTGCGGGCTGTGTGGACGGGACTCCTCACTCCTCTGTGCCCCAGATGGACCCCGCCTGCCTTTCAAACCGGCCCCTCAGATCCCCCCTCTGGGGGCCCCCCTGGGGTGCAGGAGCTCCTGGCCTGGGGGCTCCCGCCCAGCTGGTTTGGGGTGGGCTCTGGACTCTCTGGTTTCCCAGGTCCCCGGATTAACCCTGAGAGTCCTGCTGCCGCAGACAGTCTCCAGAGGCTGCGTCCTGCCTCGGCCACTGGCAGGTGGCAGCAAGGGGCGCCCCAGGCCTCGGGGGGCGCCCCGCTGCCACGTGCCCGGAGGGGAGCGTGCAGTACCTTTCCTCAGCCTGCTCTTCAGCGACCCTCGGCGTGCAGGGTCAGAGGTGGCGCCCCCACCCAGTGTTTAAGTCACCACAGGGACTGCACAGTGCAGGTGCAGGCAGAGCCGGGAGCCCTGGCCCTGTGCCCGCCAGTGCTGCCCCTTCCGGCCCAGAGTGTGGGGGGCGCACAGGTCAGGTGCAGCGGCCAGCACGAGCCCTTCCACCTGGGCACCCGCCTCCACTCTGAGCGAGCTCCCTCCGTGCCGTGTGGTGCCCCTCTCTCCTGGAGGCCCCAGACACGCACACGCGGGGTCTTTCCCGGCCAGCCCGTGGTTCTTCAGGACCTGCAGGCGTGAGCGTCTCCCACCGGTCAAGCTGACAGTCTGTTCTCTTGCTGCTTGATGACTCCCCCTGCCGGGGCAGAACCGGGGGGCGTTGTCCCTGGGCCCCAAGAACTCGAAAGAGCACAGGCTTTCTGAGACGGCCGCTCCGGGCTGGGGGCAGCAGGCCAGCCAGCTATCTGGGGCGGGAGAATGTTCCGGGCTCCCAGGGCTCCCTCACCGCGGGCCGGGCAGGCCGGCCCAGGGCCAGCGCGGCGGCAGCGGCCGCGGCCCTCCCGGCCCGAGGAACCCTACTTCACGTCATGTTCTTCTACAGGACATCGATTTCCCTGAGGAGAGCCGAGGCCGCCAACCCCTCACTTTGGAAGACTGGCCCAGAAGGCAGCCAGCGAGGAGGTATTGTCTGGCACTTCCCGCAGCGCTCTGCGTCCATGTAACCGGACACTGGAGGAGGGGACCTTCCTCTTAGATGAGAGAGGAAAGTCCGGGCGTGGGGCTGCC